GGTGTGGGCACCCTGCCATCACACACCCCAGCAGCTTGCCCACCAGTAGCCCCAGTGCCAGGGCTCCTCCCTGCACGCCGCTCCTGCCACTCGCCTGTCCCGAGGAAGAGGACGTCGTGCTGCCCGTCCTCGGCCTCCACCCGGTCCACCACGAGCTGGCGCAGGCGGTGGGGCAGGTTGGTCTTCACGAGGAGGGGCCGGCGGTGCCGGGGGTACACGGGCTTGTACATGAGGGGGTGAGCACGGGCAAAGTGCAGCACCTCATCGGGGAAGTCCTTGGTGGTGCCGTACTGCTGCCGGGGCTGATTGGTGGTCTTGCTGGGACACTGTGGGGACAAGAGGGGACCAGCTCAGCCCAGCCACCCCAGCACCTATCCCTCCTTCTCCCTCCAACACCCCACAGAGCTGGTTTGGGTCCCTCCCCACCTTCTAATTCGGGATCCATCTTCTCCAGCCCTTTGCCACACCTTGGTCCCCAGCCATCTCAGGGTGGATCCCATAGGGACCCCATCCCAGCAGGGGAGAAGATGGAGGATCAGCCCCATCACCCCACCAGAAGAGCAGTTGGAGGAGCGAAGGGAACCTGGATGTCCAGGATGTCACTTACCACACCCGGCCGTGGGTAGGGCACCCTGCCCTCGTAGGCGCCCCACTGGTGGTGGGGGCTCTCCCGGTGGGCGAAGGGCCCGTTGAAGACCTCCCGGATGTCAGCCATGCTGTACACACAGACGGCAGAGCCCTGGAAGACGTGACTGAAAGAGGACAGTGAATGGGGTGATCAGAGCCACACTCAGTGCTGGTGGCATCAGTGAAGGGCACGGGAGCACCAATGTCTCCATACAGACCAGGGCAGAGCTGGCAGAGGTTGGGGAAGTGCCATCAGCCACGTGTTGATGGTGACAGGGCAGGTCATGGGGGGCTGCAGCTGGATGTCCCCAGAGGCTGGGGCTGAACCACCCACCTGGTGGTGCTGAAGAGGGCGTAGATCTCTGGGCTCTTCCTATCCTTTGTCCTCAGCAAGAAGACATCCTCTGGGGATGAGACACCCAAGTCATGTGGGAGCTTCCCAAAGCCACCAACCAAGGGACCAGCCCTGATGAGGTCCCCAGCTCCACACAGCCCTTACCCAGCTCATCAAAGTGGGTATCGATGCCACCAGGGCCGGGGACAGAGCACACAAGCCGGGCTTTGTTGAACGTACTCCACTTGTTGACCAGCACTCTCTGGCCTCCAGCATCATTCTGCAGGGACAGGGAGCATCAGGGCCACTGCTGTGACTTGGCACATCCCTGTCCCTCGCAGTCCCCACCAGCATCTCACCACGCAGACCCGTGCCACCCGGCTGACGATGGCATGCTCCTTGCTGTCTGTCTCCACCACCTTCTCCGTGAAGAAGAAATAGGCTTTGTTGTTGTCTTGGTCATCATTGTCCGGGATCAAGGGGGCTGCCACAAATTTGGGGTCTACAAGCGAGATCCGGCTGTGTCAGGTGGGGTGAGAGGGCACGGCCACCACCTCCAGACCCCTGCACCACACCAGGGCTGGATGCCGGCCAGGGGGACCCCCAGACCACGCTGCCCCGGTGCCTTTCCCTGCTTGTGCCCAGCATGGGGGACGTCACACCGTGGCCAGCAGGTGCCTTGGCCACCACAGGGCTCGTGGTCCCCGGCATTAGCCCAACCAGGGGGACACGGGGGTAGAGGGAGCCGTTACCGTTGAGCAAGCGCTGGTCCACCTCGGTGCGCAGGGCGGAGCGGGTCCCCATGCTGCGGAAGATGCCGGGATCACGGCCCAAGAAATCCGCGGTGAGGCCGGTGTACAGCTCCCCGCCTGGCAGAACCCGCCACGGGGCTGAGAGCCAGCCCTGGCTGGCACGGGGACCGTCCCTGGTCCCAGCACCCCAAAGGCTCTCCGTTCCCAAGGAGGACAACCCACCGATGATGGTGCAGGGGCTGGTGCTGGTCCCTGCAGACCAGCATCTGCAGCTCCAGCCCTCCCAAATAGACCTCTGAAAGCAGGATCCATGCTTTTTGGGGCAAGTCTGATGCTATGAGGATGCGCAGAAACCAGAGGGACCTGCTAGCCCCACCACTCGCCCATCAGCCTGGCCAGAGGCACTGGGGTATGGGCCGGGTCCCACTGCCCACACGGTGCTGGGCTGCAGGGAGGTTGGCCCTTCCACCCTGGCCAACCT